AGCGTTCAACGTTGATTCAATGTTTCTGGCTGACATTGATTCAATGTTGTTTCAATCATTCTGTGCTATCTGGGTTTATTAGAGTAAAGATGTGACGAAGTGCAACCTTGCTTTTTTGTTGTTGTTGTTTGACAGATAAAGACTGGGAGGACATTAAAAAGATGCCAGAGCACTCCACACTGATGAAAGACTTTAGGAGGAACACGTGAGTTTGCAAAAAGAAAGAAAACCTCTGTCCCAATTTCTTAAATCTAAGATCTAAAACAAAACCAGAGCAAAGCAAACTGTGTCTGCTGGGAAAAAGGCATTTGGAGTTGCAAGTATTTAAATATCTGTGTATATGTGGTAAGTTGACATATGTTGCGACATTTCTTTCGTAGATACACAAACTGCAGCCTTATAAAGTACATGGAAAAACATAAAGTTAAACCAGACAGTAAAGCATTCCACTTGGTGAGTTTTATTAACAAATCTGTCCAGTATAATTTAGATTTATCTGCTTGTTTCATGCTAACGCCTATCTTTTCTTGACAGCTGCAAAAATTGTTGACCATGGACCCCATCCGTAGAATCACTTCTGAGCAGGCGATGCAGGACCCCTACTTTTTAGAAGAACCTCTACCAACCTCTGAGTGAGCTACTGGAGCACACACATCCACTTTATCGGCCACTTAATAGTGCTTAGATAGACTCACAGGATGTAGAGACTTGATTGCGTCTCCTAGCTAATTAGATCTCGCTCATGGCAATAAGCACATAAAGGTGACCAGTTTTCTTTGGCTTTTTTCTTCTAGTGTGTTTGCAGGCTGTCAGATTCCTTATCCCAAGAGGGAGTTCCTGACAGAGGAGGAGCCAGAGGACAAAGGAGACAAAGTAATATCCATTTGCTGGAGTGCCCTCTTCCATTCAGTTTACAGGGCCTTTGAAAAATACCCAGACCTTCTTTTTTCATTTCTTTTTTTTTTTTCTTTTTTTTTTTCAATTATCACAAACTTTTATGTATTTCATTGAAATTTTATCAGGCTGGGGAGGCAGAGTCTTAATCAGAGAAGCAGCCAAGAGGCCTATGCTAACTCTGAAGGAGCTGCAGAAACCCTCCAGTTGGGCAAAGATCCTAAATATACAGCCATAATTACTATACAATGGTTTAGATCAAAGCATTTCCATGTTTTAATATGTCCTAATCAAAGTTCAGAGTTAAATCTGTGGCCATCCGGGGAAGACTGGACTGAGATACACCTCAAACTGCAGCCCTATGTGGGTTTATAAAAACTACAGATGTTTAAATGCAAATGCAGGCCACACTTTTAGTTTAGTTTCAAAACATGTGGATATGAAAAAAAGAACACGTATAATTTTCCTTCCACTTCACAACTATGCACTACTTTGTTTTGATCAATACCATAAAATCCCAAAGAAATGCATTTACACTGAAATGTGACATGATCTGAAAACGTTTCAAGTTTTGTCACTCATAAGTTTCCTTTGACAGCCAGATTCACACTTAGAAAATATTGTTTTGCATTTTGTAGAAAAACCAGCAGCAGCAACAGGGAAACAACCACACAAATGGGGCAGGCCACACCGGTAACCCTGACAACAGCCACGCCCAGGGCCCGCCACTAAAGAAAGTGCGTGTTGTCCCACCCACCACTACCTCAGGTGGCCTCTTAATATCCACAGAGTACCAGGTGAGTGCTTCTGTCCTGACATCACCATGACGACGCTCAGTTTCCCAAACCTAGGTCTTTCCTCACCATGCAGGAGATATTTCATATCGAACATGTAGGACATCTTTACTCATAAAGACTTTACCCTTTACCACTCCTAAATAACAGCTTTATTCTTTTCTCACTTTGCTGCTTTGAGGGATATAATAGCTCTGGTCTCTGTCTTCAATTTAAAAAAAATGGCATAAGTTGCTGTGTGACAAAAAGAAACCTCACTAATGTCAGAAAGTTTCTAATTTGATGTAAATTGTGTTTACAAAGACATTTGGCTAAGCCGAACCTTGCTTTGTATTCATTTTCTTTGTACCCCCACAGCGTTCGAATCCACATGCTGCCTACCAGAACCCTGGACCAAGCACATCACTGCCCCAAAGCAGCATGGGATACTCCTCTACCTCCCAACAGCCACCCCAGTACTCCCACCAGACCCACCGCTACTGAAACGCCCCTCCTTGCACATAAACACACGTACTTCTAGAACACGTACACACACAGCTCTCGCCACGCCCACCTGAATGAATGTACTGAGGGATGTGGGGAGGACCTTCCCCATCAACCAGTCAACTAATCAACCCTACAGAGGGCGCTATATCTGCAGCAGTCTGTCAACAAACTCTACTTGTTCCAGACAACAACCATAAAACGAATCCAGTATTAGAAACACAGCATAGAGCCTGAGTCGTGAAACAGAAAGCAGGAGGGCAAAAATAAAAGGAAATGTGATTGAATCCAACCCGTTTCTGCTACTCAGACGTAATAAAAACCGACCAAGAGTCTCTTGTGTCATCTCCTCTCTCCTCTGCGACTGACCCTCTCCCAGCCAGTGCACCCCCTTTCCTGTCAAAGCTTGGATGAACCTGAAAGCTGCTATGTGACTGCCGGCCATGACAGATTCCCAGCCTTTTCCTCATTTCCGTGTTTCCGTTCATGTGAGGGCTGGAATGAGCTGCTGGGAAGCATGCTGGGTGGATGCGGATCTCCCGGATCTGTTGAGTTTTTTTTTGTTTTGTTTTTTAATTTTTATTTCCAAAGGAGGACAAAGAAAACGACAAGATTTTAGTAGTTTATAATTTAATCTGTTGTCATGGTTTTGTTTTCATGGCAAGAGCGGCTTGTCTGAGCCAAGCACTTGGCCTCTCGCTGTGGGTTAAAGCCTTAGAGTACATGACGACAAAATCAATCAGTGGCATGGAGGAAGGCCGATTGAACATGCATTGTACTGTAATGTACTGAAATATTTTACATGAAACAAATATCCTGACAATAAAAGTGGAAACATTAAGTTTGGTGATCATTTTTAAGCATGTGTGGAAAAGCATTATGTCCAAAGATAAGACACTAGAAGAGAACACTTGGATTTTGTCTTTGCTTTGAAACAACTCTTATTTTGAAAAGCAGGAAAGTTACTTCATCTTTGGTATAACTTAAGGATTTATCAGTCTTTAGTGTAAAGTACTTCCAGTGAAAATGTATAAAATGTTAATGTTCATTTGACCTCCAAATGACAAGGGTGTCAGCAGATTAGAACAATGAAGCTTGTGTACAAACAAGAGGTCTCACTTTGCCCTAAATTTTAGACGTGGATTTATGTTTGGATAAGCATGTGTGTTCTTCAGTCCCTGAAGTGACTTGCAGTTAGAGTAGTCAGAAATTTTACTCAAGTAAGAATTGGGATACTTTATGCTAATGTTACTCAAGAGTGTACAGTAAAACTACTCCTAGTTGTACAGTTTTTTTCCTCAAAATGTTACTCAAGTAAATGTAAATGTCCACTTCTGATTAGGATGTGTGTCTACCAGCATTCTAGATCTCAAAATTGAATATTTGTTGTCCATTACTGGGAAAATATCTTGAGGTCAGGCAGATTAGACGGAGAGAGTCTGTGATCATCCTTTTTTACATCTCAGTACAGACTTCCAATTAAATTTAGGTCTGGACTTTGTCTAGAGCATTCTAACATATAAATATGTTTTGAACTAAACAGCTCAGTTATGTGTTTTGCTTTATGTTTGGAGTGTTGACTCTGCTGAAAGTCAAACCTGTGCCACCGTCTCAAGTATTTTGCAGCCTCTTGACAGGTTTTCTTCCAGAATAGCCATTTATTTAGGACCATCCATTTTTAAATTTCTACTCTGACCTGGTTCAGTATCCCTGATGAAGAAAAAAACATTCCCACAGCAACATGCAGCCACCATGGGGATGGTGTGTTCAAGAGTATATATAGGGTTAGTTTTCATCTAAGCATACTGTTTCCAATGTAGGCCAAAGAGTTTAGAGCACCTTCTTCCATGTGTTTGTGCTTCCTACAGCTTTGAGGCAAAGCCTTAAACAGAACTTCCCTGCTGTCACTTTTACATAAAGGCCAAAGATGTGGACATCGTAAATAATAGTTGTCCTGTCAACAGTGTCTCTGCAGCTTCTCCAGAGTTACCTTTGACCTCTTGTCTGCCTCTCTGATTGATGTCTACAAGACAGCCAAGTCTTGTAGATTTGCTTAAAGTACTGTTTCCATTTTCAGATTCTGAATTTAAAGCTTGGGATATTATAACCTAACCGTGATTAAAAAAATTTCAACAACTTTATCCTTACAACATGAAGAAGAATACGGTACTCATTGATCCAAAGAAATTGAAGTTGGTTTAAAAAAAAATTACCTGGCATTTGTGTTTTTTCTAAGGCTTTAGGACTCCGGCAAGATGCACTAGAACATATTATTCACAAAGGATGCACACTGCAATTTATCTTGCTCCAAAAAGCTCTTACCTACCTGACCATGCAATCTCAAACAAGAATCTGCCCCATAACTCACTCTGACTGGTCACACGGGTCAAAAAATGTGCTTAAAAATAACAAGTCAATTGCATTTATTTAAGCAGAAGATATTGGACACCAAGCAAGATGGGGAGGAGGTGGAAAAAGGGTAGCTTCTCAAAATATCAGCTACTTATTAAGTTTGACATTGCTATCTTGGATTTGTTTTATTATTTGACCAGTAAAAATAGGAGCAACTCGGACACTTCTGGAAAGCATTAAAGCATTTCAAAATACATTGATTTTTCTTCCTTTATTGTGCAATAATGCAATATGTTTCCTTTGCTTACATGTCTTTTTTTTCTTTTCTGTTGCAGACATATTTCGCTGACTATTTTCGCCTAAGCACACACCTGAAACACTAGACCATAAATCTGGATCAGGTTCTGTTGAACCTTTTTCTGAAGGATGCTGGCCCAGCTATTTTTGTAATATAATGCCCAGCTTACTCATTGTATCAGTGCTTTGTATTAACTTAGAAGCACAATCAAAATCTCTGAGGCTACTATACGCCATTTTAGAAAGTCTCCAAATGAAGTAGAGATAAGATTGTAAATATTGTCATTTATAGCACCTATGATGTAGACATGCTAGTTGAATGGGGAAAAATCCCTTGAGCAACGCCCAACTGTGGCCCCGCCTCTTTCATTCTCAGCATTGCTTTAGAACTGGGGAGGTTCCCTGTCAGTCATTCTCTTACAGAGATCCCATTGGCTAATTGGTACGTCCGTTATGTGATAAATCCTCTGCTCTGAAATATGATTGGTTGGATTGGATAGTGGGCGTGTCTTCATCCTCAAAGGATTTTCCCCAGAGTGGCCAGACGGGTTGGGGGACACAGGATGGCAGAGCTAGTAGGAGTAACTAACGGGACATGCGGACGGAGTGATTTCTTCTAATATTTCAAGTTCTGGTGAGGGCCTTATGATGCTTTTTACAATCAACAGTGACACCATTTATTATAATAATGACATTTATGTAGATATTTCTGCATACTCTGGTCTAATTTGACCAAACTAAATAGTCGAAGACTGGACATAAGCTAGCTAAGCAAAGTGGTCAGTCGGAGCGGACCCCGGCGGAGGAGAATATAATACACGACCCCGAAACATTGAATATTATCCCTGCTACCAGGTTACTTTGAAGCTATTTAACCAAAAATAATAATTCGTGCTTGTTAGAGAACCCAATCGAAGACGCCAGGTTGAATTTTGATTATAAATAGTAGAAAATTGGGGAGCAAGAGATGAACAGATGTGGGTCAGTCCATTGGTAACGAAAAGCGACGGTGCGGAACAGTGATTGATCGCGGTTGCCATCAGTTTACGCCTCTGTGTATGTGTGTGCATGCTTTTGTCAGCCTGAGGGGAGGGAAACGGAAGAGAGTGCTTAAACGTGAAATTTAGACATCTAAATAATAAATTGAAGAAAGAAAAAAGTAGCAAGGAAGTGACTAAATTGGAAATGTAAGGATAGAAATGCCAAAGTATTTCAGTAAAAAAGTACCGAAATTGGATTTGCATCAACAACATTTTGATTAGTCAAGTAATAACTTACAGTATACGTTTATGTAAAAAAATACCGCGGTTTTCAAGTGGTTGCACAACAATTTAAAACAAAACTAGATAGCAAAATGTAAGTGACTTTATTCTAAAGTGATCATAGCACATGGATTTGTACCTTCATAATATTCATTTTTATTTTGATATGTTTGATCCAAACAAAGTTGATATATTTACTGACAACCAAGATACTTTTTAAAAAAATATTAAGTGGAGTTTGTGAGGGTTGTTTTTAGCAGTCAGTGTCATATCTGTCGGTAGGAATCGGAGCAATCCTAAATGGTTACAGTTAGCTAGTTAGCTGATTTCTGCCTTTCTCAATCACAAAAATCTTAATGGGGTAACACTGTACGTTAAACCTATACACCAGTGTTACTTTTTCAAAATATATATTTTAATATTTAATCAACCCCAACCACATTTGAGCTGCATTTAGGTGACTTGTATTTGGTTGGCTAATCTGACCACATCGGATTCAAGCGCTGTGTACCACTAACACGTTTAGTAAATTGAAGAGCAGGGATGATATAGCTGTGTTAAAATCAGTATCAGTCGATGTTAGTCATTTTTTAACATATCCATTTGGTCCCATAAGTAAACTGGTGTTAATAACGATGTTTATTTCCATCTTGTTGTCATTTGTTTATGTGTTTTTGGGAGGGGAGGAGGTTGGCCATGTGGTATTCGATATGTGTGATAGTGAAGAAGAAAATCAATGTCGACGGCGTGGTCACTTTTTCCCAGTGTCAAAAGGATAGGAAATCGTATACAACATATAAAATATCGATGCAACAGAAATACCGATATCGTCCCAAATTTTCTTATTGATGCATCCCTATTGAATCGACTTCCTTTGCTCTTTTTGGCCTCCTTGAGTTAAGATAGAGACAGCAGCAGCAGCCACGATGCTAAAGCGTTAGCAGCAGCATGATGCCAGAGAAGAAAAAGAAGAGTGTGGAAAATCTGGGTTAACAACTGCAGATATCACCAATACAACATTTAACGTTAAGATCGCAATCGGATATTTTCCTTCCTTATCACATTGCCCTACAGTAGGTTGTGTCAGTCAGTGGTCCGACACAGATAACGCTCCATGTGAAACAAGTTCCAAAAACGGAACCTCTCAATTGTACGAGAAGCTGGACGTAGAGCATGCATTACACTAAAAAAGCGTCCTAAAACGCCTAGATCATTAGGGAGATAAAAGGTAAATATGGCTATTTTGCTGGATTACCCACTACATTCTTTTCCCAGTATGTCAATAAATGTCTGATTTAAATGTAACTAAAGATTTAAAAAAAAAAAAAAAAAGAAAAAAAAAGAAAAGGAAAACTGCTTAGGATATGGTAGTTGTTGCTCGACTGTTTTAACATTTTCTCCACAGTTGTGCTTTCAATCATCGCAGCAACATGTTCGGTGCTATTTGCATGGTTGACATTAAACAGTGAGAAATAATAAATTGATTAGTCACATGCATGCATGCGTGCATTTTGGTATAAATAAAGATTAGCTGCTCCTGCAGGCTGAGGCTGACAGCCAGTCTGAGAATGAAATTTATACTGTCTTAAAACTGTAGCTCTCCTCAAAATTAAGATCTCCCAACATACCAATCAGTAGAATTTAGTTTGACGATAAAAAAAAAAAAAAAAACGGAAAAAAAACTTGTTGAAGCCTGATGCAAGAAACTGTTGTTTGAATTTTTTTATATATATTTTTAAAGCTGATTGTTCATTTGACTATTTTAACAAAACCCATCTTTTTTTTTGTATCATAGTTGATAAATAATTTTTTTTGCAGTCATGTTGTTGGAAAAGCATTCCCTTTATATGTTTATATACAATATATAAAATATCGGTTTTCGTGTAATAGAGCAAATTTTTTAAGTAAAGTACAAACTTTGTTAAAGAGGTTGAAGTAGATATTAGTATCAACATTTCTGGTATATCTGGTGAAATTTGACTGACACAATAATGTGTGAATGGTGATAATCGTGTAACTACCAGCTCTGTCACATCACCCGCTTCACTTTGATGTCCGATTTTGACCTATTTTTAAATGTAAGAACCACGGCATATAACCTGAGTCCTCTTTTCACCCCGGCAGGATTCTATATTTAAAGGAGCTTTTCCCATATTCCACTACGTTTATCCCCGAATATTATTAGAACCAGCCGACGTTCCTGGTTCCCGTTTTGTTTCTAGACGTCGTATTTGGGGCAGTGAGATCTGACGTAATCCAGGATGCATTATTTATAACATCAGAACAAGCAAAACAGCCTCCGACACCAGAAGCTGGACGTAGAGCATAAATTGGTAATGACCCGCCTTTCAGAACTTAATGGAGCTCTCAGGTCTGTAGTAGTAAGGCCCGGCGGCCGCAGGGGAGCCGGGTTTCGCTCCCGGATGCAGCCAGGCTGGGGTTTTTTGGGCTCGCCAATGGGACATTTGAGAGGCTACCTGGTGTGATGTTTTGGAGAAGGGCTGAGTGTGCATGTTGTGTTGGAGCAATTAAAGCATCCAAACACGTGACCCTGAGGAAGCGTTAGGCGCTGTGAACACAGAAGTGAGGATATCTGTCGATCTATCTGTTCAGCCTTTAGAAAAAGGAGAGCTTGCTTGCTTTTGCTTTCAGTAGAGGGGGGCTTAGAGAAGGTTGCGGAGGAAGACGAGGAGGAGGAGGAGGAGGAGGAGGAAGGTGGAGGGGAGGGGGATTCATGGGAGAGCTAGTGCTGTTGCCGTGTGAACGGAGCTCTATTGTCCCGGGAACCTTTCAGTGGCTTCCCTGAGGTCCCTCTCGAGACCCATCCCCCCCCCCACTCAATCCAGCCTTTCTCCGTCACACAAACACAGAAACACACACATATATAGATATGCTCTGCTGTCTCTTTCCCACTCACCCTTAAAACACACTCGTTCTCACACACACCGACTCATTTACTGTACCTCATCTGTCACGCTCTCGTCCCACTTTGCGTCTCGTTTAGAGCGCCCTCCTCTTTTCCCCTCATGTCTCACAAGCAAAACAAGGCCCCCCCCCCCCCCCCCCACAACCCTCTGGTTGCTCATTATTTCGCCTCATCAGTGTGATTGTCATGCAAGCCAGACAGTGTGAGCAAAAACATGCAATCTTCTAATTTGCATCACCTCCTTTCCAACAGAAAGCGCAGTGTTTCCAAAGTGTTCATGCAGAAAGCTGAAAGCCGCGGTTTTGGGACACTTCAGGCATCTTGTTGGCTGGATTAGTCATTCTTTGTGGCAGCCCATTATGGGTGTAATTTTACACTTTGTTTTAGCTTGTTGGCATGATGCTGCCGGATCTAGTTAGGAGTCTGTGGGAAGAAATCATTCTGGGTGACTGATAGCTGAACAGATAATTACTGCGGTTTCCTTTTGAGAAATTGAGTTTCTTCATGTTAAACATCAGCAGATTTGACCCGTTTACAGGTTTTACTCTGGTTTTTTTTTTTGTTGTTGTTTTTTTTGTTGTTGCATGTTTCAGATTATCAAATGAATTTTAACATTAAACAGAGAGAAGATGAGTGATGACAATGGAGCACGTTTTTGGGAAAGCTTACCCAAACCTGACTACTGCCATACCTGTAGAGTTGAGAAATCCTTTTAATAAAACCTTTCTCGTAACAAGAAGTGGGCTAAAGGCAACACATCATGTCCTGATCTTAGGAAAGTAGAGAAAAGTTGAGAATCAATGGCATTTACATTGAATTTTAAGCCTAAAGTCATTCAAACGCCGACAGACTCATGGTTCAAAGTAATCTTTCAATTTTACCAAAATGTTTCTTCCTAACGGAGAGTAATTATTACTATCAACGAGTTCTGACTTGAATCTGCCGGAAAATCTACGGAGGAAGCTAAAGATTAGGGTGATGGAAAGGCGGCCCACCTACCTCAAAGACCTGGAGAGGATCAACACAGAGAAATCACCAGTGAGAACCGCCATTAATTACTGAGAATAGTGTGAATACTTTTCAGCATTTAATAAAAAAAAAAAAAGAACACCTAAGTTTTATTTCTCAAAATAGATTCTACTTTATGTTGTTTTATTATCTTTCACCTCTTTCATTTTCTACAAGCATCTTGGTGGAATAAAACTATTTTTAAATCTAAATCAGTTGGAGGTTTGAATACATTTGGGCAGATCTGTTTTAGGCCAGAAACGTTTATGAAGCCATTTCTAAGGCTTTGGGAGTTTCATAGTAGTCTGTTTGGAGGACCAGTACTGTACGTTTCAATGTGTTGCCAAGAATTCCACTTTATTCATGTTTTTATTCTGTGTTGTTGTCTATGTTTCATGAGCCAGTCCGCTATTATTAGCCCTCTGTAGGGCTGCCAGGTCTCCTGTGTCGATGCAACCTGCTTTTCTCCCTTTTAAGAAAAGCTGTGCAGTAAAAACACTCTGGAACCATAACTGAGCCTGAATCATTTCGGGAATATTTGTTTGGAAAAAAAAAAAAAAAAAGAAACTCTCCTTCTGGTTGCTTCTCCAGCTGCGACTGTATTGTTCTGTTGAGCGTTGAGCTGAGACGGGAAGGTTTGCTGTGACACCAGAGAAGGACCAGGAAACAGGAAGAAAACTCGAGCAGCAAAAACAGGAAGCAGGCAGAGGGGCTGATAAGACGACTGCTCTCTGATGCTCAGAGAGTAAGAGTGTGAGATCCTGCAGCGACTGAGCGCTAGATGAGGCAGTCGTGTTCAGATTTGCAGGGGATGGGAGCAAAGCACAGTTTATCGTCTGCAGAAAGCCAAAGAAAAGAACGCTTTGCCTCTGGGTGTATTAAAGTTTTTTTTTTAATTTTGATTTTTTATGCTAAGCAGAATCTCTGGCTGTGACAGTTTTCCAGCTGGGCCGGTGACAGGCTAGCCTGGGATTAGCTGGCATGTTGTATCTTCCCATCACTAATGCTTTAATCTTTCCTCCAGTCGCCAGGAGTCTCCTGGCTTTGGTCGTCGTTCACAATCTCCCGATCAACAACTCACTCACACACACGCAAATTGTTTTTACAGAACATACAGCGCTTTGCAAAAATATTCTTACACTTTTTCACATTTTACCAAATTACAGCTACACACCTGGATGCGATCTGGGGTAGTGATTTTAAGGGATATACCAACTTAAAGGAAAACTTTACACCATTTTCATCAAACTAAATAAAAATCTAACATCAGATGTGAACCACGTTTCTGTATCTAACGTCAAACGTGAACCAGGTTTTGTCAGTTTGCACATTCACAAAACCTGTGCAAATGCGAACCACGTTTCTCTGCAGTAGCAGCTGGAAATCTCTACCAACATCCCACATCTGGAATCAGAATTTTTTTTCTCCCCCCCGCCCCATTCTTCTTTGGTAGAAAGCTCAAACTCGGACAGATTAGAAGGAGAGCGTCTGTGAACATCAGCTTTCAAGTCCTTCCACAGATTTTCTCTTGGATGTAGGGCTGGACTTTAACTGGGTCATTTTAACGTAAGGATTTACTCTGGATGAAGAAAAACATCCTCAATGCATGTTGCTGCCATTTCCATTGTCAGTATGTCTTGTCACTAGATTAGTTGATGATTATTGCTATTTGGAGTATACAGACTCTACAAAAGGCCATTTGCTGAAAGAACAACACAGTCAGAGCCAAACCTGTGCAAGAAATGTATAAATTTTGCATTTAAGAAGAAAACCCCACTTTGTTTATAAAGATATACTACACAGAACTCCTCTGGTTACAAAGTTTTAGCTTCACCTGGTTTAAACTCCTTAAGAAAGGGCTGAGTTTTTCACATGTTGATAGTAGAAGTATTTTCTAGCTGCAGAAGCATCCTTTGTTACAAATGATCAAGTGTTCACTAAAGGAACGCTGTCTTTTTGCATTTTAGGCAAAAAGACAAAAAGATGTTTTTAAAAAGGTAATTAAATTATTATTATGTTTTACATCATATACTGTACTTCATGTTTCCAGAGTTTTTTTAGAAGAAGTTTTGTTGCTCCTCATCAGTTTCAGTTCGTGACAAGAAACTGACATGTTCCCACACTAAGCAATTAAATGTCACTCTTGGGAAATCAGGCTGCGTTCCGATGTATAAACTTCGGCATTGATCACTGAAGTAATTAGGAGTTTGATCAATGCTTTGCTCATTAACGCCTCAGCAGATTAGATGCTGACTGTCTACATCTGTGTCTGATCTGTGCGTGTGTGTGTGTGTGTGTGTGTGTGTGTGTGTGCTCCTCCCTCCAGTCTGAGGCCTCGCCATGCCGCTGGTGAAGAGAAACATCGAGCCGCGCCACCTCTGCCGGGGGGCGCTGCCGGACGGCATCGGCAGCGAGTTGGAGTGCGTGATGAACAACACCTTGTCTGCCATCATCCGCCAGCTCAGCAGCCTGAGTAAGAGACACACACACTTACTGACGCAAAGTATTCACACCCCTTCTTCGCGTTTTTTGCCTCCGGTTTCCACGGTCGAGCTAAAGAAAAGTAATCCCACATGACGGTGCTGCAATCGCCACGTTGGAACGGTGTGATTCGGGTGGTGTACTGCCCTCTTTGTTGAGTTGTGGTCTCGTCTAACCAAAGCATCTTCTTCCAACTAATTGCAGGCGACTTTCAATTAAACAAACTGCTGCTTAAAATATTAATATCTGAATAAATTAAAAGAGAAAAACAGATTGAAACTACAGCAGCACCTTTGGGGTCCCCCCCCCTCATTAAGCTTAGCACGATCATGTTTATACTCTGCGGATCCTCTTTGCGCCGGCTTCGTCATTAATCCTAAAGCTGTGATTGATTTGTATGTCGTCATGGTTACAGCGATGGAGAGGGTCACAGGGCTCGCTGCAGGCTTACGCCAGCCTCACACTGGGACACAGAGCGCTGAAATGTAATCATTTCAGACAGCGCCGCAAAAGGACCTTATCCGTCCAGTGGCGGGCATGTGACCGAGCTGCTACTCTGGGTTTGTGTGTGTCTGTGTGTCGGAGTGTGTGTTTGGATGAAAGCTGTTTACGCGCTGGTCTTGTCGATATCGTGGCCCACTGCAAAATGGAGTTTTTACAGCGCCATCCATCTTCCATCCGCTTTCTCTTCCCGCACACATCAACACACCGTTAATGTGTTTTTATTTGGCACTTCGCTGCGTTCATTTTCTGACTCCCGCATGAACTGTGCTGAAAGTTTGTTGTGGGATAAATTAAAACATCTATCCTCTCTGCTTTTTCGGCCCCTCCGTATCGATTCTGTCCGCGTCTTATTGTGTCAAGTTCCTGCCGAGGGAGTCGGCCTCTCGGCAACAGCTGTGTGGGTTAAATATAAATGCTTTCAAGGGTCCGACAGAGGAAATCTACATACTCGGTACGCCGTGGATGTTTTTGTGTGCATGGCCGGGCCATAAAGAGAGGCCGGGGCTGACGGGCTCAGCATGATGGATTCGGGATTCTTCCTTCCTCTAAATGTTTTTCCTGCAGCCCATCCTGTCAGCAGGCCTGACAGAAATAGCCCTGTGTTCTCTATAGGACGTTTGGACGTAATGTTCTGCACCGAAATAGTCATTGAAACTATAATGAAACTTCCCCTGTTTGATTTCCGTCAGAGTTGCAGTGAGCAACAATTTCCAATTTTAGGATAAGAGTTTTTCCTACTTTTTCTCCACATGAATCGCATGAAGGAACTATTGCTTAGCTTAAAAAATGTTCTCATTCTCTTTCAGAAGCTTTAATCAGATGATAAAGTTGGGTTTTTTTGGTTTTTTTTTTTACCTCTGTAAATCTGCCTCGCCTCATAAATATGTCAATTAATTTGAACTCAACGCTTTCCATGGTTGTGAAGTACAAACTCTAATGTACTTCAGGGGTATTTAATGAGGAGCCACACAAAGTTGTTTGTGATTGAGAAGTGGAAGAAAAGTGATGCAAAATAAAATTAAATAAAATTAAATAAAAAAAAAAGTCAAAATAGCATTTGGTCTTCTTTTATGTACCTAAATGAGGTCTTTCACAAGTCATGTGTTCAGTGGCGCCCCCAAGGGAGGGAAGGAGGTGCCACGGCCCCACAAACCCATTGAGTAAGAGTGTATGTTAGTGTGTGTATGAATAAAGCTGGTAGACACAAAACCCCAAAACACAAAATGTAGGAAAGATTTTGATGATCGTGTCCCAATAGTCCTTCCTTCTGCGAATATTAAGAGCTTTTATTTCAAAATTAGTCGTCTGTCTCCTTTAAGAAGTGTAGAAAGTTGGTGGCGGCGTAAACGAATGCAGCTGTTTTTGGTCACTTACTGCACATTAATATCTACAGAGATCGATTCGGATGATTTATATTTGACTGGTGTTAAATTATTCATGAGGTAATTTCTTTATGGAGTCGAATGAGTTACAGTTCCCAGCACTGATCCTTCGACTCTCGTTATGCTCTGTATCACATTATCTTTGTATCGATCGGACCTCAGGCCCTGTGGGGATCCGCTCGGCTTGGAATGAAGATTAAAGTCTCCGTCCTCCTCCTTCGGTTTCCCATCACTTTTTTGTTTTGTTTTTTTTCCCCCTCCCCTCTTTTCTCCAGGTAAACATGCAGAGGACATATTTGGCGAACTGTTTAACGAGGCCAACAATTTCTACCTGCGCGCCAACTCTCTGCAGGACCGCATCGACCGGCTCGCCGTCAAAGTCACACAGCTGGACTCCACAGTGGAGGAAGGTGGGTAGAAGGGTAGCGCAGCAAGCCGCCATCTGTCACCAAAGTGATGTCAGTCTCGTGTGTGTGTGTGTGTGTGTTTTTCATGATTTCTAATCACTGAAAGCCCTTTTTCTTTTAATAGCAGCGGAACCATTTCTCCGTTTTTGTTCTCTCAGTTTCTCTGCAAGATATCAACATGAGGAAGGCCTTTAAGAGCTCCACCACTCAAGACCAGCAGGTGGTGTCCAAGAGCAGCGTTCCCAACCCGGTTAAAGAGATGTACAACCTGAGCGACAAGCCGCCACCGCTCACCATCCTCACGCCTTACAGGTCCGCCTTCTCCACGTTGAACTCTGACGTTCTGCTGGCTGTTTGTACTGAAATCTACCACATTTCTTAGCATTAGCTTCATGTAAAATCAACCTTTTAGTGAACAGCTGCAATTGCTATTAAGAAGATGTTGTATAAAGTTGATACTAGTGTGACATATCCATAAAAACTCTGCAGAGTGGTCAATTATCCAACCTAAATATTACTAGGATCTTGTTGATGGCAGTGAAAAGTGAATTGTGCCAAATGTTAGTGGGGATGTATACAAATATTTAACTTTTAATAATTAATTTGAAGCTTAAGTTGATGTTAATTTTTACAACAGGTAACACTGGAACCTAAATTGTTTCTTTACTAGACAAAAAATAAAATTTCATTCCTGTTGATGGTGAGTGGACATAAACCTGAACTGTATCCATGGAGAGGTCTGTATTTCATAACCTCCGTATTTGTTTTTTTTTAAATTATTATTATTATTTAGAGACGATCACAAGGAAGCCCTTAAATTTTACACGGACCCCTCCTACTTTTTTGACTTGTGGAAAGAAAAGATGCTGCAGGACACGGAGGACAAAAGGAAAGAGAAGAGGAAGCAGAAGGTAATGAAACCGGCTGGGATCTTCTCAGTGCTCGGCTTTGATTTCCCACAGTGCTTGTCTGCGATCTGCTTATGAGATTTTAATTGCTTTCCAACCACAACTTTCTCCGATATTATGAGGAGTAAAACAAAGTCGTTTCAATGGATTTTGGTTTAATTAAAAACGCACACAAGAAAAGAAGTGCTACAACCACAGCTTTTGGAGAACATTTTATTTCCAAGTCGAGTTTGAGGTTATATCGCATTTTTCTTACGCTTTGCTGCAGGAGCAGAGGCGCTGTGTGGATGGGACTCTGCAGAGGGAGGTCAAGAAGGTCCGCAAAGCGAGGAACCGTCGGCAGGAGTGGAACATGATGGCTCTGGACAAGGAGCTGAGGCCAGACCACCGGCACACAATTCACAGAGACAGAGCCGCCTCCTCTGAAGGATCTATGTCGCCAGAAAACAGGTACTTACGGAACAAAAACTGGATTTTTGTTTATTTAAAAAAAAAAAAAAACTATTCTTATTCCTATCACTGACTGTATTATTTCTCTCAGGGGTCACAGTGTGGATCAGCATCACTACCCCAACAGCATGAACCACGCCGGACACGCCCACACCTACTCCGGCCCCCCGCCCAGCATCCTGGCCGCCCAAATGGCCGCAGGACACGCCCCCCGGGGGGGAGGCGAGCAAGACAGCAGAGGCAGGACCATGATGGCCTACCAGGGCGGGACGCTGGGCCGCCCGCACCACCACCAAGCCCCTCTGCCTCCTCCACCAGCTGAGGCCATGAACGGTGGCTCTATGTCTCTGCCACCAATGGACTACAGGTAAATAAAGTTTAAAGCAGGGGTTAGATTGGAGAAAGCTGCCAACATTGCAGGTCTCCACCTAAACTCACCAACTGGACAAGGAGAACATTTAGAGAAGCAGCTGAGAAAGCCAAGCTAGCTCTGGAGGAGAATCTGGTAATAACAGGATAGTTATTTGCTATTTACGGCAAAGATCTGACCTTTATCTACGAGTAGCAAGAAGACGGTAATACCAACTTACATAAACATAAACCACCTGCATCGTTGAAACAGGAGGACTGTAAAAACGCTTTCTGCCAGTTTTAAAGGTTTTAAATCGTGACTTTAAAAATCCAGAATAATATTAATTATATTTATTTATTAAAAGGGCTGTATCAAAAATGATAATTTTATGCAATATATTATTTTCTTATCAAAAACTTGGATTGTTGCCTTGATTATTTCATGTATGTTTGAGATTTCCTTGAATCTGCCCAGGCAACCATTCAGGGTTGCATAAAAATTTCACCTATTTCCATTTCATACAAACCACTTCTCAGTCCAGCACTCCTAAGTATTGCTGTAAACTGCATAACGGAGGAGCATTGTTGAGATGACGTGCTGAAGTCAGAGTGTTGGACAAACAGGAGCTTTTTAAAGAGACAGAGGTCTAATTTCAAAGCATCAAATTTCTGAGTTTCTTCACAGTTATGTTGGTTATATACAGCATTTTTACTACAGAAGGCAACAGAGTTACTTGGTTGTGCTATAAAATGGCACGATATTCTTGGAAATTACATAACACTGCCCCGTTTAAAATAAACAAATTTAAAACATTATGAATATAATAGAAGTGCATCCAATAGTCCAGTTGCATTCAGAGTCACGTTTAGGAAGAGGAATTTTCAGCTTTCTTTCTTCTTCTCAGCTTAGCTTTAACTAACTGAGGCTTACCAGCATCACTTTATGTTTCGCTCTCTGTGTTTCCATGAGGTCAAGGTTCAGTCTGCAGCACGTTGATCTCTTCCTTCAGCTGGTCTCCGGTAGCTGTATTGACGTTCCTCTGAGGTTAATCTTGAAAACCTTCTGATGTTTTAAACGTGTGCGTTTTTCAAAATCTCATTACCTGAGACGGACTCGCCTTCTTTCATTATTCTGCTTGAGCAATTAGATTTTAATGACAGAACAAATGAGAAACAGGGGACATAATTGTCTAATCCCTGGACACTTTCCAGATTTAATTTACAGGATCCGGCTAACAAAGGCTCACTTCTTTTCTTTCACACAGCTCTGAGCTTTAACTTATTGCCAAATGGCTTTTCTTTGTTAAAATAGTGCCTCCTTTTAATTGGTATCAAAAATACTTAACAGCCCAGGCTCTATCATGAAATGACTAACTCTGTGTTATTGCTGCCCCCTAGTGTATAGCTGCTAGTTGCTATGGTTTCTGCTAACTCGTCCCTCCATCTTCTTCTGCAGTATGAACGGCTACGCCAACACCGGCCCTCCCCCGCCGCCCCCCGCACCCGTCATACCTTCTGCACAGACGGCCTTCGCCTCACCACCCGGCGGCCCCATGTCCCCCGGCCCCATGGCCGTCATCTCCGTCGGCGGCTACGCTCCGCCTCCGCCACCTTTATCTGGAGCTCAAGTGGCTCCGCCTCCTCCCGGCCCCCCGGGGCCACCGCCTCCACCCGTCCCAGCTGGTGCCTCCCACTCCACGTCCTACAAGATGTCTTCCGCGGCGAAGGCTGAGAACGCGGCGGTCAACGACGCTCGCAGTGACCTGCTGGCTGCTATACGCATGGGTAAGATTTACTCGACTTCAAGCAGGAGAAGATTTAGTTCTCCTTGTCTTTTATTGAGGAACATTTTTCTAATATTTTAAAGTGGTTTTAATAAGTAAAAACTTCTTTCATTTCCATGTCAAACCTCAGTTTACATCTTTTTTGGATTATCAGTACTAAAAAGATCAACCAGTGTCGTTTTCAGTACAAAAAGCTGCCGTAAAGATTAAGACAGAGTAAAAAGTGAACCTTTTAAAGGCCAGTTTTGAAAGGTTACAAGACACTGTGATTCCTTGGATGAGAAGAAGGAATACATTTGGGATAGTTTAAAAACTTTTATGCAGTATTTTGAAAATTGTAATTGGAGATTGAGTTTATTCTAGAGCTGTTCTTATTGTAGAACTAAAAAAAAAAAAAGGAACGTAATTCATCCCCGAAAAGCAATTAAATGTGCTTTTCTGTCTGCAGGCATCCAGCTGAAGAAGGTGCAGGAGCAACAGGAGCAGCAGGCTAAGAGAGAGCCTGTCGGGAACGACGTGGCCACCATCTTGTCGCGCCGCATCGCCGTCGAATACTCCGACTCGGAGGACGACTCGGAGCTGGAGGAGAACGATTGGTCAGATTAACACATTAAAAAAAAAAAAAAAAAAAAAACACATAGGAGAACTACTGAAACACGTTTAATCACACGCTCACCCTGAGGAACACCCACTGCGACAAACCCGCAGACCATCAGAGACCCTGTGAGACCCTGTCGCTGTAAAACACAGAAGCTGCACCTGAACACAATCACATGCTGTAGGCTCAATATAAGCTATAAGGTGTAAAACTGGAAAATGCAAAAAATACTGTACATGAACTTTAAATATCGACCACTCTTTAATCTGTTAACCACTGAGCTTCATTATACTACTTTGAAGCATTGTGAATACACCCCAGTAGATGTTTCTCTATTATAACACTATAACACACCATGTGGAGGTGATTACTTCCTGTATAGTCGGAGCTTGAAACTGTTAGAGCTATTAGAAAACCTTCCTCTTGACTTAACCTGTGTACTTATCTTTTTTTAAAGTGTTTTTACTGAAATACCTGTGTATGTATACCATAGATCTTGAGGTAAGTCTTTAAATTGTAGATAAATATAACTGGAAGTATAGGGAGAGTTTAGTGGTGGCAGATCTGCTTTGGTTTGAAATGGGGTTCTGTGGGATCGTTACTAGTAATCGGTATCTTACTTGTGGCGGCCATTTAAACGACCTGTTTGGAAAAACTGAGATCCTAAATAGATTTCTGCTGCGCTAAAGATACTGACCGCAGATAGCAACTCCACAGAACCCCACCTTAAAGTGACTTGCAGAAGTATTTATACCCTTTGAAGCTTTTCAGATTTTGTCATCTTACATCCACAAACTTTGACGCATTTTATTAAAATTCTGTGCAACTGACCAACACAAAGTCGTGAACATAGAAGTGAAAACGACATTTTTAGAATTTATTTATGAATTAAAAACATAATTTTTGTGGAACAACTCGTTAGTTTCACCTCAGTTATGCACCACTTTGTGTCGGCCTGTTGCATAAAATACAATAAAAACACATCAGAGTTTTTTACTGTAATGTGACAAAGTTTGGTGGTTAAAAAGTTGTCAGTGGAAGGATTATTTGTGAAATGTCTTATTATAAATGAGCCACCTGCGTTTGCAGTCGCTCCCTGCTGTGAATGTGTGTGTATGTGGGGGAGGCGGGGGGCAAGGGGGGGATTGTTGGGGCCTAGTTTGTAACTCTGTAACCTCTGACCCAAAGAGAAATAAATTCATGAATGAAGAATCGCTGCTGAGCCGTCACATCTCTACAATGCTCTGCTCTCGTCGCAGACGCAACACACACCTGGCTGCAGGACTTCGGTTGCCATCGCAACAGTGCTGCTATGAAGGGAGTTGCCAAGGAAACAGAAGAGCGCATAAAAGGAGGGCAGTGAGCCATGACGAGGATGGAAAATAAACACTGGTTAGAACAAAAACACAACAAAAAAAAAAAACATCAGTGGAGGCAGGAGTTTTATGCACAGCACATGTTTGTCTTTAATACAAAATTAACAAGATTTCTCAGTGGAGTGCACTAACCAAAGCAATAAAAAGTACATCTAACACCTTGGAAAAATAGACGCCACGTTCACATAAACATTTTTTTTTTTTTGTTGTCTTTTACAATATTTCAGTTAGGTTAGTGCAGGTTGATTATCATTAATACGTTTCGTTTTGCAGATAAATTATTCGTTGTGCCATTTTCACCCCCCAAAAAATAAAGTGCATTTCACATTCAAAATTACGTCTACACAAGATGCTGTTACTGTGACTTCAACCTCATCTCCATATTCAAAAAAAAAAAAAACAGCAACACACACTCTCACGCTCACACACACATTCACAGGCCCTTGAGTGTTTTGATACTTAGCTCTAAAATAGTAACCATCAGAAAGAAAGACGCCTCGTCCTGCTGGTCCAACATGTTGTCACTGATATATATATATAAAAACAGACAATTTTATTCACATCTTTGTGCATTATCACAAAATAAATGCATTAAGTAGATAAACAAGGTGTTAAAAAAAAAAGATAATTACACCCAACCTCGCAGTTCGTCAACTTTCCTTGTTACAAAGCCCTTATTCAAATGCTCAGCAATGAAAACCTTGTCAGTACAGCTGCAACAAGAGATTCACATTCCCCGATTGTGTGTCGATTCAGTTCCCAAACATTTGCCCTTCCCGTCAGTCGGCAAACCTTTAAAAAAAATAAATAAATAAAATAAAATCTGCTGCATATTGAAGGGAGCAAATGAATCAAACGTTACCAGAGAAAAATTGATGGTGCAACCCAATTTTCATCAATCATCATCAGACTGATGAGCTTTGGTAGCACCATGCACAGTGGTAAGAAGCTCCCCCACCCCTCCTGTTCAGCAGGCCCTATTTACAGAAACAAATAGATACTACATTCAGAGAAAGGCTTTACAGCGCGCTTGTGTCGTACAACGTCAGACACCTGAAAGGAGGGAAAAGGAAATACAACCTCTGAGTGACCGTAGCAAAATAGACTATTCTCCAAAAGGTAAACAGTAGAGGTTTATGACCTGCAGTGCCTTGCAAAAACATTCATACCTCTTGAACTTTTTCCACATTCATGTTGCCAACCACAGACTTCAGTTTGGTATCTCATCAGGATTTTTACAAGGCGTTGTGAAGTGGGAGGGAAATTATTTTCTAAATATCTCAACAGTGTTTTGTTGTATGCAGCAGTTTGTATGTATGTCATTTTCTTTACCTGAGATTTAAACGAAATTGAAAATCAACCCAGTCTAAAGACACCAACATTGTGAAACATGGTGGCGGTAGCATCATGCTACGGGGATGCTTTTCCACAACCGAAGCCGGTTAGCTAATCAGAGTTGATATAAAGGGCGATAACCTGGTAGTTACATTGGAAGAGTTTAGGTCAATGGTGTCCAAACTGCAGACTGTGGACCATTTGTGGCCCTCAGAATTATTTTGTTTGGCCCTGGACTACAACATGGCTTCCAGCACAAGCGGTTGATGTAGAAAAGGATCTTTTTTTTTTTTTTTAATGAAGCAAGGCCTTTCAAACACAATGCAGATAAATGTAAAATCTTTTCAAAAATAAAGATATTTGCAACATAAAATATCAATTCTCTATTAAATATGTTTTTGGCTTTAATAATAAGAATTTCATAGGAAACTGACTTTTTTTTTATTATTAAAATTTAGCTTAATATGTTTACATTGTAAAATACTCTACTTTTTAGGCCATGAAGATTTCTAACTGCAGCAAAAAGTGGCTCTGAACGCAGGTGGACATTTCTTAGACGGTTAATTGCGGAAACATAAAACGAGAAAACATTTTGAACTCTGTGGTTGCAATGAAACAAAAAAGTGGAACCGGAAAAGCGGTGTGAACACTTCTGCCCGACACTGAGGGTCTACCGGTTCGAGCCTCTCTCTGCACACATTCCCTCACACGGGCTACTTTTTCCATGATTCGAAACGTTGATTTTCATTTTCCAAGCTGACCTCCCCGTCCTAATAAAAAAAATATTTCTCTCCTGCTTCGAAGCAAACCTGAAGACTTTGAAGCTCCTGGAATGTCGGTCAAAAGGCTCAATGAATCAAACGTAAAAACCAAACAAATAATAATAAAAAAACAACAAACTCATCTTTGTTTTTGGAAGTAGCCGTTTTTAGCTCGTAGGATCATTCAGAGGTCACTTAACAGACACCTGCCTCAGCCAGAGTTGATTTGAGCTGGAGTGTGACGACAGAAACCCCAGCAGGATTGGGGTCGCAGTTCATTCAGAGTCACTTTTCCCTTTGGCTTTAAGTGCTGGGGGCGCCAAAACTTCCTGGTCCCCACTTCCCGCCAAGAAACACGGAACGAGGCCACTTTCCTCCGAACCGACAGGAAGACTGACAGTGTAAATCCTCTAAGGTCAGGGGTGTCGACGACAAATGAGACACATCGTAGCGCGCGCGCGCACACACACACACACACACACACACACACACACCCAGAGTGCCATGCGACTCAGAGCAGATGCACGATCACATAAAAGAATAAAATAAAATAAAAAAATCCCTTTTTTGTTATTTAAGCCGACAACGCCTAGTGAAACCTTATGCGCTCGGGAAAGGAAGAGGCAAACGGCGAGAAGAAGAACTTCACAACTCTGCCTCTCCCGCCTGACGTGACAAATGATCAGAACCCCGTTCCGGGGTTTGTGGATAAAACGAGGCAGTGTTGTCACCTGGATGAACGAGTAGCTCGGTCTCGCCTCAACCCCCGTTGGGAGTGATTAACCCCGACTCTTTCTCTGTCATGTCTTTCACTTTTCCGGAAACGTTATGGTGCTTCACGGAGCGCGGATGTTATTGCTGTCTGAGTATTGCTTCGTGTCTAAAAAAAACAAATAACTACCGTTCAGGCTAGTTATTGCTGACGAGATCTGGAGTAACAGTAGAACCAACAGATGATTGGAAACAGTAACTCAGAGCAGCACGGAAGTGATGGGACTCACAAAGGTTCTCTGACCTCTGGAAGCTTTTCTAATTCTACCACGTTACAAGCACAAAGTGTGGCGTATTTCACTGGGATTTTATTAGATAAATTAACGCAAAAATAAATGTAAGGTGGAAAAAAGTGCTACATGTTTTTCGTTTTTAATTCCAACAAGTAAAACTGCGATTCCTATTTGTGCACAGGCCTAAATAAAATTCAGTTTGATCAGCTGCTTTTTGCATTCACATGGCTGTGGTGGCAAAACACCTCATCGACACCATGAAGCATGGTGGTGGCAGCATTATGCCATGGGGGTGTTTTTTAATTTATTTATTTATTTTATTCCTCAGCTAGGAAAAGAAAGCAGATCAGATGAGACAAGAATTCAACTTTTTGGTCTACGTGCAGAGCGCTACGTTAGCGCCGCACGTTACCCTGAACACACCGCGAAAGCACTAAAAACAAGCTGGTGGCAGCATCATGCTGAGGAGACGCTTCGTCAGGCACGGAGAATCTGGTCAGAGCTGGATGGGAACGTGGATGGAGCCAAACGAGCCCTGGAAGTAAAACCTCTGGCAGGCTGCAGAAAACTCGAGACTCCAGCAGAGGTTCACCTTCCAGCAGCAACAACCCCAAACATTCCCCTGAACACCCACAGCTGGAGGTTTTCTGCAAAGCACTTGCAACACACAAGATTTTTATGCAGATTTTCTTCCTGTTCTCTATTACGCTCTGTTTTTTTTTTTTTTCTTTTTTCCATAAAATACCAATGAAACACATTTAAGTCTAGTTGTAACGTGATACAACGTGAAAAAAGTTTAAAAGTGTGACAACTTTCGCAAGGTATCGTAATGCTAAAAGCAAAAAGCAACTTTAAAAAAAAAAAACAAATAACAGCTCCCATGACCTTGGTGCGACAGTTTTAGCTCTTATAATGCAGCACATGTGAGGTACACGGTGGTACTTTGTACATAGACAAAATTATTTGGGTCACGATGAAGTCAGGCGGCCACGGCACATAGCCTGCAGTGGCTACGCGCGGCCCACCTCATGTCACTGGACTGTGCTAGTTGCATGCTAATTACAGCTAATCCCGTTAGTTTAAAGATGCTGTCCAGTGTTGTTTTTGTTCTCACAAACAGATGCACCCCGACAAGAAGAACACAGCTGGGTAGCAAAACATGGATTCACAAAATACAAAGTTGTTTCTTTTTTTTTTTTTTTTTTTTTTTTTTTTAAAAAAGGTCGCTGACAGGAAAAAAATACATCTTTATATTTGGGTTGGTGACATCACAAGAGGCACAAGAACCGAGCTAAACGGAATTAGCAAGGATTACGATGGACGACTTTGAACACTGATTCTGATCTGAATTCGAGCAAGAAGTTCAACCCTATGTTGATTGAAGAATTTGATCGAAATGATGAACGTAGAGGGGGGAAATGAAACAGTAATACAAACGGGTTTTGTCAGAAGAACTCTGGACAGACTCCTTACACCTTTTGTGATGTCACAAGAGGCATGTTGGTGCGGAAGCTTCCTTTTTACAGGATTTCATTTTAGGTGGAAACGGATACAACCCGGAATAAAATGTTTTATAGATTAGAAAATATATCTAAAGTGAGTTTGATTGATTTTAAAGAAAAATCTGGTGTGGTTTTGCTTTAAATCTAATGGTTCCGGTAGCTTTCTGATCCAATCACAAGAAATGTAGCTATTCTGGAAAACTTTGGTGAATTGGATCTCCAATTAGATCCTGAGATGCCTTTAGATTTAAAAAAAAAAAGTTAAATATAAGCTTTCTTTTTGATTTGGTATATATAAACTAATAAAAATACAAAGGGCAGGTACTTCTAGGGCGGGTCTGTTTGGAGCCTTTCTTGTTGTTGCGCATTCATGCGCAATCGACAGCCAGAAGAGAGGGGAGAGAAAGCAGGGAGGAGGAGGAGGGGCAAGAAATGGGCGAGGCGAGGAGAAAAAGAGGCTAGATTTCTTCCCCGGCGTCTGTGGAGCGGATCAGAGAGCATCGGGTCTATTTTTAGCTCTCTGGGTCTGCTCAGCTTTCGACGCACGTCCAGAGTGCAGCAGCGGCGGCGGCGGCGGCGGCAACAACCGGGATGCTGCTGCTGCTGCTGCTGCTGCCCCAGACGGGCTTCAAGTGTTGCTCAGCCGCTGTTCATCAGCTGGGAGATCATGTCTGTGCATCATGAAAACAAGTAAAGCTACAGAGCTGTCAGAGGGCGTGCGTTGTTTACGCGCACCGGAACATGGGGATGCGCTTTCCTGTAGAAATTAACAATACACACAGAGTGGGCAGGATGCAGCCCACCTTCTTGGCCTGGCGCTGGGAAGACAGGGAGACACGGCGGGCTGCTGCGTCTCCAACCAGAGCTGCACCCGCAATCCCTACGCCGCTGCCCTCCTCGTAACGCCGGACGGCTCCAGCAGAGGAGCAGAGCTGACCCTTCTCGACCCGCCCGGGGTCTCCGAGGTCACACGTCGCTGGGTGTCCGAGCACGGTGCGCCACGCTGGTCGGCACGCAGCCACAGCACACCAGCCACAGCGCCTTCTGGATCTCCTGGTTCCTGAAGGCGTAGATGACCGGGTTGATGATCGAGTTGTAAGTGGCAGGCACCAGCGTGGCGTAGGTGTACAGCGGAGGGTAGGTGTAGTCGGCTATGAGGGAGTAGACAGTGAACGGCATCCAGCAGGCGGCGAAGGTGCCCAGGATGATGGCCAGGGTGGACACGCCCTTCCGGGTGGTGACGTAGTGGGGCGTGGCGGCCAGGAAGTGGTGCTGCAGGGCGATCTGGTGGGCGTGGCGCATCACGATCTTGCAGATCTGGACGTAGAGCTGCAGCATGAGGCCAAAGAGCAGCAGGAAGGAGATGGACAGGACCGCGATGTTGTTCTTGGTCAGAGGTCGAACCACGCTGCAGGTGACCTCCTCGGCAAGGCAGTTGACCCCGGTGACCGGCAGCAGGCCGAGACACAGGGAGAGACCCCACAGCAGCACCAGCATGGTGTAGGTGAAGGCCGCCGTCCGCTCCGAGTTGTAGGTGAGGGCATAGTACAGCGAAAGGTAGCGGTCGACGGTGATGGCCAGCAGGCTGAAGACGGAGGCCGAGAAGGAAGCCACCACCAGGCCCACCGTCAGCAGCTGGGCCGAGTCCGAGCGGAGCAGGTAGGCACAGGTGAAGTGAAGGACCAGGCCCAGGCCGGCCAGCAGGTCAGCCAGAGCCAGGCTGCCGATCAGGAGGAACATAGGGGCTCTGAGCGTCGGGTTCTGCCAGATCACCAGCACCACCAAGGCGTTCTCACAGGCAATCAGGGTCCCCGATGAGCACAGCACGATGTCCCAGGGGTTAACCAGCAGTGGCAGCTGGCTGGGCCGGAGTGGGGAGTCCTCCGCTGGGAACGACCCCAAGCTGGTGCTGTTGTCCATCGGGGCCCCGCTGGCCCACGCTGTGGGATCGGGGCTCAGCCAGCTGGGGGAGACCGGTGGCTCCTCGCTCATTGTGCCCCCCATCTGAAATTAGAGCACACACACTAAAATTACCACGTGCAGAAAGTTCAGGGGGTAAAAACACAAGCTCCGTCAGTCTGCAGCGAGTGAATCTCATGACGAGGCGAAGTGAGCTGGATTGACTTTCCTCTTCGTCTTTGAACACTTTGTTCAGTCGTGAAGAAGAGGTGACGTTCAAAAATAAGCAGGCGTAAGAATGTGAGAATATTATGCAAAGTCGAGGCAAGGCAAGTTTATTTACATAACCATAGACGAGGTAATCCGGAGCGCTTGACTCAACATCAACGGAAAGACAGAAAGACAAAGCGTCAGAATAAAAGCCTTGCATGAAGTTAAGATGTGCATTTTAAAGAGATAAACTAATGTTTTAAATGTTTCATCAGTCAGATTGTTTTGATAAAAGCTAAAATAAAAAGTTATGCTTTCAGTCCTGACTTAAAGGAACCAATCTCAGGTTTCCAGGGAGTTTGTTCCAGAGCCGAGGAACGAAACGACATGCTGTTTCGCCTTGTTTAGTTCTGGTCCCAGGAACAATGAGTAAAACAAGTCCATGAAGACCTGGGGGTCTTTACTGTCCATACTTGATGTGCAACTCAGAAATTTTAAAATCTGTATAGTGCAGTTATTTGATCCATTTTCCTGGTGTTGGTCCGGACTAGAGCTGCAGCTCCAGACAGACCAGAAAAGATGTCACTGCTGTAATACAACCTACTCAAATTGACAGTTTTTCCCGTGTCCTCTTTTAACACAGATTAAAAGTGTTAATCTGTCAACACTTTTAAGATAAAGCTAAGCAGATTTAGTAACAGAACCTGGGAAGAACATGGACCACAGCATCAATAAACATCACTGGCTGCTGTTTCTATCAGCTAAAACAGAAAACTGGGAAAACAACTCAAGACCAACAGATTGGTAAACGCTGCTTGGTCTGACGAGTCTTGGTTTCCCCCTTGCAACTTTTATCAGGGCCAGCATTTTTAATATGAACAATGTGAAGGATCGTGGAGTCGTCACATGGATCCCCACAGTGTGTGTGACGACTGATGATGCCACAAAGCTTAAATAGTCCCCAAACTAATGTCTTGAATTTGAAAATGGGTTCACTGCCCTGATGATCTCTGGAAACATCAGATCTCAGTCCGGTGGAACAACTTTGAGACTGAGATCACGTGTGAGAAAGGCATGGAGAATATTTCATTTAAAGACCAAACACTACACTCTGCAATTATTATATGAGGTACAGCCGCGCTATCAGTGGAGAGGTGGAACAGATTGACTAAAAGTTATCACAACAGAGGTCTATTACGGTCAAGGGCTGTGTTTATAAACGAATCGACAAAAGAAGCCAGCGGATAACCAAAATCGATGCTTTGCACTAACTTACAGGTTGCAGAAGTCAATACCGACAGCGCTGCCCTGCCAGTGGCCACAGCTCAATCCACCAGCTGCTAGAGAACATACCGCACCCGTCATGGAAAAGCCACCACATCCCTGCGCACCTTGCTTTGGAAAAATGGCATTGCACCTTCACTAGCTCAGTCCGCATAATGAAGGTAAAGAAGAGAAGAAGAAGAACAAGAAAAAAAACATGCATTTCTCCATTCATGCAAAGGATGCTCAGCAATCACCAAGCTTCCATCCATCCATCCATTCGTCCATCCAGCCTACCTTGACTCTGCGAGGTGCGACTTCCCGTCTAGATGGAAGATCGACCGCTTTGTATTCCCATGTTAGGGATGCAGATGATGCGGCGCCGGCGGACAGAGACGCAGCTCACAGCGAGGAGAGGAAGAGGAGGAGAGAGGATCATGGAAGAAAGACCGGGGAGGGAAGAGCGCGGCGGCGGCGGCGGCGGCTCGGCCACTGACGGGGCCGTGGACTGCGGTGGTGCGGGGACGGAGCGGCGAGTGGAGCAGCGGCGGCGGAGGAAGAGGAGGAGGAGAGAACGAGGAGGAGAGGAGGGAGGGGGGCAGACAGGAGGTGAGTGAGAAGAGAGGAAGGTGGAGATGAGGATGATGATGATGCTGAAGGAGGAGTCCCAGTAGGGCCACACTGGTTTGAACTCCGGTAATTTGCCTCGCGCTTCATCAAGGACAAATTTATTACCGAGTAAACAATACGGGTTTTTTTCTCCTCCCCCTTAAATGTTGAGTATATAATTTAGTAGGAGTTATTGTGGAAGATGTTTAACTTGTTTTTGGCCAGACCCAAGTTTCAGACGGGAGGTTGCTGGATGCAGAGAGTCGCTTTTCCTCCCGCGACGCCCTGCTATTCTGGTCCTGTCTGAGCTATTAACAGCGACCTCCGATGTGTGTCACCAGCCTCCTCTTCCTCCCTGTCCTCCATCTTCTGCTGCGAAGTCACCTCAGAAGACAGGTGGGCTGCACAAAAATGCATTAACATGATCATGCAGATGCATATCATTAGATAACTTTGAAAAATATTCGTAAGGCGAAAAGTATATAGAGTGATATTCTCATAAAACTTGATTGCATAGGAGGAATAAAAATGACTTTTTTTTTAAACAGAAGTGTCGGCCTACTGAAAGAATGTTTTGTGTGCACTTAAAACGGGGCCCAGGCTGCTTTTGCATGATTTACTGCATCAATGCGGTGTGACATGGAGAGGATCAGATTCAAACATTCACATTTTCCTCTTAACAACCTGCAGCTTTACTTTGGGATTTATGTCGGGGGAGATTAAAGAACTGAAATGAATAAAAACTTGTCTAATGAAATGCACTAAAAGATGCTTGGCTGTGCAAACTTTAGGTAAAAGACGAGAGACAACCATCAGCAGATCACGTGACGCCGACACTAAAATAGACTTAACACAATTTGATTTCCAAATGATATCCAGAATTTAATTTCATCACAAAAGAGGATTTTGGACCAGTGTGCAACAGTTCAGCATTTTAAGAAAATCATGTCTTAAAGTTAAATACTGAACTTATTTTAGCAGAATACAAACACGGCTTTGATTTGATAAAATATTTAGGAACACAAATGTTTTCTTGAATTCTCAATTTATAGGTCTTTCTAGTTTAGAGGGCCACATAAAGAATTATGGTGGTCCGAAGACCTTACGTTTGGTACAGTTTATTATGGAAAAGCATTCCATATTATTGTACAGTCATAGATACATTTATTTATAGAATAATCTTGATTGATCTCGTATAATACATTTTCGGAGGGGTGGAGAGTTATTGGTCATAATCAAAATAACAATAAAAAGAAATTAAGCATATGCAACAACATCCAAATCTATTGAGATGCATCGGTGTGTGATCTTTCGGCTGCGCTGTTTACTGGCTCTGAATGGATTAAAAATAACTCCGGATGGAATTTAACAAAAAGCAGGAGTACCGAAGCACACCACTAGATGGCGACGTCGAGTCCCCCTATGAGTCATCAGTGGGACCTGTGGGACGCAGAAAGTAGAGCAAACGGTCCCTCAATCTTATTGGCTTTATTTCTTTTTCTTTAAAACAGAAAATGATCGCTTCACAACAGGCCTTTTCAAGCAACCCCCCACCCTCACATTAAGCTTGCCAACACCTACAAAACAGTATCAAAAGTGCACCATAGTGTTAATACATCTTCTCCGAGTCTAACATTTTCCAATGATAATATCTTAATGAAATATTTATACAAATACCATTCTGTACACTAGAAATACACAGCCCAGTGCTCCCTGTAAGCGGGGCACCCACCTCCTGTCCGTCCTCCGTCACGTCCATGACCAAGAAAAACAAAACAAAAAAAACTTCTGTCACAGTTTAGGTTAACATTGTGGGAGGTGAAGACTCCAGGCCGATATTACATCATATGAATTAAATACCCACTCACCCCACACCCAAGGCAAAAACTAGAACAGCACTCATACAGCCAGTCAAAATCTGTACAACCCTCAGTCCCTTCTTCTGCAAACAATCATGACAGTTTCATTTGTTGTCGTCTCTCTCCGTCCTCGCAGCAGCAGCGGTGGCGGTGGATGAAGGGGAGCAGTAAGGGCATAGGAGGAGGAGGGGGGGCCAGCTGGTAAGTAGAGGGGACTGCCACGGCTGAGCTGCGGCGCTGAGAAGCCTCAGGTAGAAGCAGGTATGACGCCGTGCGAGTTTACAATCTGCTGCTTCCCCCCCTCCCCAACAAAGTTAGAAGAGAGCGTCTCTCTGGGATGATGTGGCAAAGCGCTGCGGTCCACATCTGGTTTAGTCTCTGGACTGGTAAAAGAGGATGTAGCCCGACTCGGAGTTCTTGGAGATCTCGGAGGTGAGACCGTAGAACTCTTCGATGGCCTGGGCGTCGATTTTCTACAAGAGCAGAAGTGAGACGGACGGCTCAGTTACAGGACAGACAGACATGGTTCCTAAATGCAACACAACCTGCTTACCTCTACAATGTCGTCATCAAACAGCAACCAGAAGTCATGACTTTTTACAATGGCGATGTAGTGACCCCTGTTTGGACCACTGAAAAAACAACAACAAAAAAGTTTATCCTTTAGAGCTACGATTTACAGATTCAGCTTTAAATTTCTGAGGTTTTCAGGTCGTTTTAAAACATTCTGGACATTTGAGAGGAGAATGTATTTCCCTAAAGTGTTTCAAAATGTGTAATGCAAGGTCATATACAATAATTACATCACAACGATTACATTACATGCTGCATCCATTCTGTATACTTCAAAAACGACAACAAAAAAAAACATTTTAGAGGGGAAATGTAAGACAAAAAGCTCCAACAGTCTTAATTCTCCAATATTTTGTTGAACCATCCTTCGATTCAGTTTCAGCAGAAATCTATTCATCCCAATTTCGCAACATTTCTCTTTCCAGATTTAATCCGTGTTAGAAGTCTCCAGGCCTGAAAAGGCAAATCTGCAGGTCTTCTGTTGGATTTAATTTTGATCTAAATGGAAAATGAAATCCCTCTTCAACTTTCTGGCAAATAAATGAAGGTTTGAGGTCAAAACTCAGATTTACATAATTCCATCAACCATGACGCCGCCACCACCTTGCTTCACTTTTGGTGCCTCATTTGTGGCCAAAAGGGTAAATACATACTACAAGACATTCTCCAGCACAATTAATGGAGGTTTTAACACCTTCTGTTTTACAACCAGTGAAGAGTTGCAGATAAAATAAGAAATTGTTGCCACATGTAGAGAATAAATCCAGAAGTTGCCAGAAATCCCTGTCGCTCCTTCAGTGTCAACTTTTATTTATAGCAACTGAATGTGGAAAATGTGTATTGTTTCCACTGTTAGACCATTACTGCTGCCTTTGAGGCAGACAGCTGGAGCAATGGGTGGGAATCACAAGCTCAGCTCCATGACGGAGGTTTTTCCTGTGAGGACTGCCGTCTCTTCCTCCTCCACTGCTGACCCAACGTGTCGGCTAAAGCTCTATTCTTGGGCCTTTTGTTTTTTTCCCTGCACCTTTTTATCACTGGGAACTATGCTTTGTAAATAATGGATTCCACTCCATTTAAATGCAGATGAATGTTGAACCTACTTCCCCCCTCGAGCAGCCTGATGCTCACTCTATTGGGCCACTTCTTGACTGATATGGATGGCTCTTAAATCACTAAGGGGTTTAGACTGGAGCTAGCTCGAATTAGAGATGACATTTTACACATGTAGGGCTCTTATCCCACTCTAAAGTTCAACCATTTTTCCCTCCGTTATTGTTTGTTTCGTGCAGAGCTCAAGTCTGTTCCAGCACGCACTTGCTGAAAAACAAGCAGGGAACACCTTAAATAAACACAGACACGCAAACTCCCACTCTCAGAGTCAAAAGGAGAAGAGATGTTTTAACACCGGTTGCTCGTTCACATGCTCACCTCCCACAATGCACTACCACAGCAACCAGGTCGTATAGCCTCTCGGGATTGGTGGCGTCTCCAGAGGTGTTGAAGAGACGGAGCTCCAGAGGGAAGACAACGCGATAGGACAGCTTGGTGTATCGCTGGAGCTGCTCCATGTACTTAAAGCGCTTCAGGTGCAGAGCCAGAATCATTGGTAGCTTCTTCACACGCATCCTGAAGGGCCGGAGACGAATTAAATTAACCGAGACGATGGACAATTTACAGTGACTTTCACCAGAAACATCAATGTGTTTAACTGGGATTTCAACATGAAGCTCTGAATAATTTTGAGGTGGAAGGAAAAGGCTCCAAGATTTTTCTTTGACATAAAAAAAAAAAAAAAATCTTTAGAGGCTTTTCCTTTAGAGCTCCACCAGATTTACACATCCAAAGGTTGAAAATCTGGCTTACTCTTTGCAAAACAGCTCAAATTCAGTCACACTGGATGGAGAGCATACTTCCTAGATGTGGTATTTTCCTCCAATTATCTCACGCCACTTTGTGTTGATCTCTCGCATAAAATCCCAGTAAAAGTCATTAAAGTTTGTGGATTCAGTGGAACAAAATGTGAAAAACTTGAGGGGCATAAATATTTTTGCAGGACATTGGACCCAAAAGAATCTGCTCCACTGACCTCTTGTGCGCCTCCTGCTTGCTTCTACATTCCTCACAGTAGTATTTGTACTCACTGCACAGAGTCTCCGTGTTACTGAACCCTCTGAGAGGAAACAAAAGAAAAAACAGTTAATCCAGGGTCCACGCTTACAAAAATAATCCCACATCTTCCTGGTGCCATTTCTGTGTTCCCAAACAAAGCATTTTAGCTGCTATTATGTTAAGTAGATCTTAAATCTATTTTTTTTTGTGTTTTTTTACCACTTTAGCCTTTTTGATAATACAAAAGTCCAAAAAAGGTTTTTTTAGGAAGCTTATATTAACATGTCTGCTGTGAAAAATATGAAAAAATAGCAAAGGAGCAGCTTAACCAGCATGCAGGAAACTACTGACTTGGCCAACTTGGACTCTGGCTGGGTCAAGGTTGTGGGGGAAAAACAGCTGTTTCGTTTCTTTCAACTGATAAAATCAGAAATAAACCTATTTATTTATAAATACTAAATAAAACACTTGAGGAGGAACATCTATATATTTAATGGACAAGCGATACAAAAGCTATTTGTTGTTGAAAATGCGTTTTTGGACAAACCCAAGCTGCGTTGCTAAAGTCTGTAGCCTCCAAACAAGTTCCTGTCAATTTACCATCATTTCCTTTGCTAAACACGTTTACCGTTGTGAGGTAGCAGCAGAAAAGATTTACGCTCCGTCACTGAATGTTGGTGTAAGGGTACACTGAGAAGACAGTTTGATTTTGAGAGCTCTTTTATATTTAATGCACAAATTTGACAATATTCCACATTCTTAATTCTGGGACTTGACCTGCTTTTTTCGTTGGTCCTGGCTGCTTAAGTTCCTGCCTCTAGACAGAAAAAGCACGCCTCACTGTGGTCTTATCTTGCTTACAGCAATGCATTCAGCTGATTCGATAAAGTAAATAATTGATTTTTTTTTTTCTTGTTGCGTTGGAGGGAACTGCCAGCTTGACTCCGCTACGCTGCATGCAAGACGTACAAACACAGAAGTGAGCAGAACCAGCGGCCACGCACCCCTGCAGCATAAACGAAAGGAAGAGTGAGGCCTACGGCTGTCGGACTGAAACCTTCCTGTCACACTAATGGGGAAAAAGATTCCTGCAGTATTATCATTTATTATGCATTAGATTTAATTTTTTTAAACGGTAAAAATTATAAGAAATTGGGGTTGGTTCAGCATACATGCTGTTTTACCACAGGTTCCTGTTCTGCAGGAAATGACAAACGCAGACTTCTAAAAATGACATCACATTAATAAACTCTGTTGACACACAACCATACAGCGATGCTCAACAAATTAATCATTTCAAAATGGAAGAAGCTTTAATTACAATTCTTCAAAATTCACAAGTACGTTTCAGGACGCTTCAGTTAATCAGTTTTACCTGAGGCAGTGTGTGATGGAGGTATTCTGTTCCACGTCCACAGAAAGGTCCAGAAAGTCTTCATCTTTGCTGCTTATCTGGA